GTTTGTTCTGTAAAAGAATATGAATGAATCATGTAGTGTCTGTACAGTACAGTAGGCTACTGCTGCTCTGTGCTACATGAAAAGCTTCTTTTCTAGACCATTAATGCCCCAAAGGCAGCACAACATATGTTGATCAATCTAGAGCCTCTGATTTGAAAAGTGCGGTGCCATGGCGCGGTGCCATTATGCACAGCTGTCCACTGTGTTTACCTCCACTAAATCACATGTGAGTGACTCCAAGCTACTACACACCAGACTGGTCAGTAGGAACGTGGTATACTGCCTGACATGTGGGGGACATCAGATTGCAGGACATTCAAATCCACCATAATCAATGGACCATCTGAATAAGGCAGAACATCAGGTTTAAAGAGAAATGTTTAAATGGCAGCAATACCCAAGCAATAGCTGTTTCATGTATTTTTTTTTAAATGTCGCTTTAGACCTATAGGCCTATATCTAATATTGTGTACGTCAGTATCTTTATCATAAAACACCGGTGTCATCATAGTTTGCTACTTTTAGAGTTAGCTCCAGCCTGCGTTTAAGCTAAGTGCCAACATTAAACTACTTTGCTTAGGCTTGCTGAAGATTTTTTTAAATGATCTGACGGCGTTATCACTAACAAAATGGTTTATTGATGCATGCGGTCACTTACTTTCTCTATCCCTGTCCTAACCACAACCCATAATATGTCTGTGCTACAACCTAATGCAGGCTAACGTCATCACTTCACCTATCACCAGACAAACTAGAACAGTGCCATGCCACCTGCACTGCTTTTGTTTTTGCCAGAGTTGCATCTATATTTTGAGGTCCATACCACCACCAGGTGTATCCTCTGTGCCTCCAGACTGCTGGGGTATTGCACAGAAGCAGAATTAAGAAATCCAAGATAACAAGACAAAGCGAGACTTGACCTAGTTTACTAAGTGCATCCTGGCTTAATACGTTTCACGGAGGCAAAGCCAGATTGTGGAGGTGTGGCTGAATCGAGCCAGGTCTAAGTAACTTGGATGAATGTACATTCATGGCTTTCTTCAACAGGCCTCGAGGTTGATCAGCGGTTCACTGTTGCTGACACTGAAGCAGCATTACATTTGCCCGTCCTGGCATGCCGTGTATTGTGTAGTGTCATTAAAATGAATGGACTCCACGCCCAACCAGCACAAACGGCACAGTGCAGGCCAGGTTTTCTAGCACACCCATCAAAGATGTGTGTAGCATATTTCAGACCCATACAGAGCATGCCCACTCACGGACACTTACAGGGAATTCAAGTACATAATCTGTAAATAGTGGAAACACAGCCGTCATAATAAAACAGGGAGAAGTGTGTCAGGCGATAGCGGGCCAACTAAATGCATTAAGTCACCTAAAATACACATTTTCTAACCGCTGTTCTTAACTAAACCATATGTTACTCAGAAAATACCAGGAAGATTAATTACAGCCACTAATCCACAACCTAAATGTGTAAATATGGTTCATTCTACAAATCTGGGTGATGTGTAGCATGATGCTTCTTACAGACCTAAAGCATTTTGTCAACTTCTAAACTTAACACATGGGCCTGTTTTGGGTGACTTTGATATTATTAATAATAATTAGCACATTTTAATATCAGTATTCTATTATTAATATTAATGTAAATGTCAATGAGACTGAAGTAATTAATGAAAGAAAACTGAAAATGAAAAGTAGGCCTATATGCTCCAGGTCCATGTAGGCTGATGATCGTCATGGCATTTTAAATGGTTGGCTAATAATAAAATTCAACATTAGATGATTAAACTTTGTTTTATCATTGCAAACACAGTTATGTATTCAGCATAGCCAGTATAAGTAATGTGATTATCATGTCAACTTTAAGGATTTTGGTGTCTGCAAAAATTAGTTAAGTGTCAGCACTTTCACCATTTTTGTGGAATGTCTGTCACATTTTACAGATTACCTGTAAAAGAAGTCACTGGTTTCCCATCAGAGTGACTGCTGACAGAACAAATAAGGCACCAGGATGACTCAAACCTGGCTGTTAGCCTGGTTTGGAGCAGGCTAGCTCCCCATAGTAACTTCATTTAATCTGCTTTCATGCAACTGAGTCGGAGCTAAATTCAGCTGGGATAACTGGAAAATCCTAACTTAATCCCTTGTCTTGGGTTTTGTGCGGTACCCTCAGCTCTAAATCGATAGTGAATGTGCTGATGCTTATGTCTGACAGTCATTCTGCTGAAAAACCACATTTTGAAATAAAAAGGATATTAGGGGAAAACAGCATTGTGAAATAAAAGCCAGCTTTGGTTTGAAACAAAAACAAGTGGGACTAAGTAAAAAGGCAATCTGTAACAAAGTCTATAGTCGTGAAAACAAGCATGATGACAATGTTTCATAAAACATAATGAGAAAAATTTTATAATAGCTGAATTCGAAAAATGTGTTTCATTATTTTACAATTTCATGGTCATAAAATTGTGTTTCTTTAAATAAGTATTTCATTTTGAACATTTTTGGAGCTCCATGGAAGATGGCCCTGGTATGTATGGGCCATGTACACATTATGTAAACGTGTTTGAGCCTCTAAAAAGTAATAAAATAAAAACAAAGAGGTAAGAATGCTTAAGCAATTCATATGAAAGTAGCAAAAACTGGACAAAGTGTAAAAAATTGTCTGTACCAAATATGTCTTTTTGCTTTCCTGTGCTCTTAATCATCCCGTGGACTTTGGTGGGGGTCCGTACACCATGTGTGGAACCAGCGCTTAGTGTCTATGGACAGTCCAGCATTACCCTATTTGTATCTTTAATTTTATACTTACTATCGTCACTATCAGTAGATTTTGCTTGTAACTGTGTTACTGCATGCCTTTGATGAGAGAATTACAGTAAAACAAAACAAAAAATCCATTTAAGAAGGAAGCAAAGAATAATCACAGTCATTCTTAGAAAGCAGATGTTTGCCATGTGAGTATGCTTTCAGTGCGTAACACTTCCTGTAGCTGGTTCTTAGTAAAACCCTTCCAGCAGTTGGTAAAATATTTATAATCACTAAGAAGCAGCTGCAAAAACTGCTGCGATATCATCACTGATGACAGCGGATCTTAGCTCGCTCTTTCTAGGGCTGAGTTAGTATTAGTGAGGAACAGAGTTAGAGGTTTGTGTATCTGTGTGTGTGGATGTTTTCAGCTGGTTAGTATTAGTGAGGAACAGAGTTAGAAGTTTGTGTATCTGTGTGTGTGGATGTGGTGCCAGGCAAGTTTTAAACGAATGAACAGGTGGTAAACTCCTGATTGTCCTGTGGCCTTGCTGCCTGCCCTGTTAGCTAGGCCTACCTCTTCAGCAGGGACAACACTGAGGTACCGACAGATGAGAGGAACACCCAATATAGTGTCTCAGTACGATGTTGGCCCACCACCAGGGCAGCCTCGATGCTCCTTGATACAGATTCTCTAAGTCTGTGAACTCTGCTGGAGGGATGAACACCATTGTTCCAAAACACCTTGTGGTGCTTTGATGACGGTGGTGGAGACTGTCTAGGTGTTCGATTGGCCATAGCATACGATTCATGTCATACCAAACCGTTCAGTGACCCTTCAGGGGTGTGTTGACAATAAATAAATTCCACTAAGTCCAGCCAGAGTCACAGATGGATGAGTAAAAAGTTTATCAGACACTAAAACACTATATAGTGCATATTATGGCACCTCAGGAAAACGGCAGCCGAAATCATTTTTTCTTCACTCACAAGGCAAACAGTAGGAATGCATCTAGAGTATCTGCGTCTGCACCGTGGATGAATTAAGAAGAGTTTGGTGTTTAAAGGTGGCACTCCCTTCCTTCCTGTGCTAAAGTTGCAGCATTCAGTTGATCAGTTGACAAGTTGGTAAACAGAAAATGAATCAAATAATGGTTTGTTATAACTTTTTAGGTGCGTGTGTGTGTGTGTATGTTTATTCATTTATTTATTTATTTACTTACTTACTTACATATAAAATCTTTACCCAAAATGCCAAATGCTCACTGGTTCCAGCTTATGTTTGGGTTTTGGAATGTTGGTCAGGTAAAACAGAATATTTGAAGATGTCTCCTTGGGCTATACAACAAATATTTGTTACTTGCTTCTGACAGTTTATTAACAAAAAGGAATAACCAGTAAATCACAGAAATAGAGTATGAGGCATGTTAATC